AAGTGTTGAGTTCTTCGATGTGAATTTGGAATCCTTCTTCAGACTCACGGCTTTCTCCAACTCTGCCTACATTCCCAATTCATATATTTCTCAGTATCCTTCCTCTGTCTGTTTTAAACTGGTCTACTTAATTGGACTGAACTTCAGAAACAGGTTATTTTCTTGCCCTCACCAATATTTATACCTTGGTCAATTATTTGCAGTTCTTTGTTTTAAACCATCAATGATTTCGTATTTTCTTTCCAGACCATAGATGGCAGTGCTGAACACGGTTCTTACTACAACTCAGCTTTTTGTCTAGAATTTAGGATGTGGGTGCTGCTACAGAGAAACCACCTCTTGGCTGTGCCAGGCTGCTTCTTACTCTCTAACATTGATATCCCACTGCAAATGTCCTCAGCCGGACCTGGCAGTTTCTGACTTAAATATCATAGAATCATAGAATGGTTTAGGTTGGAAGGGACCTTGAAGTTCATCGAGTTCCAACCCCCCTGTCATAGGCAGGGACACCTCCCACCAGCCCAGGTTGCCCAGATTCATGATGTTTTCCAGTCTCAGTCCACGAAATGCCAACTTGACAGTCTTCAAGGCACGACATAAAGCTCATCTCTCCTCATATTTTAGGTGAACACTGATTTAACGGACAGAATAGACCAGAGATAGGTTCACGTCTAGTTTTGTATAACAGCTTATTTGGAACACATTCTTTTTTGATGGTGTAAATTCCGCCAATCATAAATTACTTTTCTAATACATTGTTTGACAACATTTTCCATTTTTTTCTTTATTTTTGTTCACTAGTTTAGTTTAAAATATTCTTAATTGTTTGGCAAGGCTTGATTTAGATTCTAAAGATGTTCAGGAGACATTCAGGAAACTGCAATAAAGTACTGCTTTAAGTCTGAAATTTGAAGGCAGTTTAAATCTTTAACTATTAGTAATATTTACTAATAGCTCACAGGAACAAGACAGAATCACTACCAGGGATAGTTTTCTTCTTGGTAACTTCCCCTGGAAAAAATATGAACAGACTGGAAGACTGGGAAGTTATAATCTCTCTCCAATAAAAGACTTCAGCAGTGGGAAGCTTTCGTTGCCTCGGCCTGTGAACAAAAACATACAGCTTCCCTTCTTCGTAATTTAAAGTCGCATAATGACTTCATGCTAACCCCAAGTCTACTGCAGCTTACGTCTGAATGCATCATTGTATAAAAGCTTTGGTGATACTAAATTCTTGTAATTCTGCCTGTTAGAAAACGCATGCAGAAATTATTTTTAAAATTGCAGCAGGTTGGAGTAAATTCTCTCTAGAGGTGCACAAAGCCACTCCTGGACTTACGCAAAAGCTGTGTATCAAGGAGCAGGCTATGTGCATGAACACTAAAAGGAGCTAAATTCATATTTCATGAAAGGAGCATAACTTTCTCTAACCACCCAGCCCGAGGCTTATTTTTCAGAAGGAATGTACAATAAAACTGAAGAATCCTTACCATGTAGAATTAATTTTTCTGTTAATTTGTGAACAGAACACCCATACTTTGCCAGGTGGACCTTCCTAAAACCCACTGCCTTACTCAGGCTTTACTATATTACCAAGTCTTGCTCCTTTTTAACTCAAAGGCTATTCCACAAGTCTGTGCAGATGGATGAAATTATTATTTATCCAACAGTATTCTCAAAATATATGTTTTCCATTAAAAGCAATTTGAAAGGGCAGGATCCTGCAGTGCTCAACCAGCTTTTACTCAGTAACACACCAAGCTGAGAAAAAGGCAAAACATTCCTTGAAGAAACATTTAGTTAGAAATTACAGCTGATTTCTAAAATAAAACTTGCGTATAAAAAAACGCATTAATTATGCTGAATATATTGTTTCCAGAAGTAGGCAATAAAATTATTCAAGATATTCTGAGACTTTTAGCTGACTAATGAAAGCAAATATTAATCATGCTATCATACAAATAGGTAAATGCAACTTTGAGAAAATCCACAGTCACAGCCATTGTTATTTTTCCTGTTCAGCATTAGCTATCTTAATTTCAAAGTACTCTATTGCATGGCAGCCTTTAAAAGCAACAACTACAAGTAGAAAAAGTTTGGAGAAGGGAAAAAAGGAAAAATAAACAAATTCTCCATTCAGAGGAAGGGATCGATGTTGAAGCTTACAATGGACCTCTCTATACTTGTGTTCTGGAGAATTTATTTGTAACCAGAATAAAAATATAGGATATACATATCACATGTAGTGTAGGAATTTTATACACCCTATAGAATAGAAATGTAACTTTCTTATAGAAGAGTGTAAGAAAGAAATCTAAGTGTTATACATAAATGCATATATACAGGAACTTGATTCTCCTGCCTTGCAAACAGATAAAACTCACCAAAGTGTAATGGGACTCTCATATTTTATTTGCTTTATAGACACATATGACATTTCATAGAAATATAAATGTCTATGAGTTGCAACAATGTGATGAATCAGATGTATTCAGAATGATTAATAATGAAAATTATGTCAGAGGCCAATAGGATAGTTTCAAATTGAACTAGAAAAAAAAATATGTTAAGTACTTACTTTCTCAGCAAGGAAATACTTTCTCCAGCTACGGGAAGAAATAAGGAACTAGGTTAGCTGCTGAGGGAGACTAAAGAAACATTTTTACTGAAAGATAATACTGAAAGAGATATTAAAATACTCAGAACAATTTAGAAATATCCAACAATTTAGAAATTTATGAACAATCTAGAAATATGCAAATCAACTGTCACGTAGAACAGAATAAATGGTAGATAAACAAATAAGCAAAAGGATTAAATTGTAACACTCTGATTTCAGTTAATGTTACAATCAAAAGACTTGGTTGCCTGGTTTAATAAAAATATGAGTAAACCACAATATTCTAGAGGTTTCTGTGTTCATACTCTGTGCGTGTCCAAATTTATAACAGTCAAGACTTAACATGAAATTTTTTTTTTTATTTAAAACATTAAATTCAACTTTCAAATGTGAAGACATATTTTTTTAGTAGACCTTCTAAATGGAAGTTGCTGTAAAACTGTAACTTTTCATGTCCTGAGTAACAAAGTCTTGGGTGGCAAAAAAATGACATTCCCAGTCTGCACTTAATGTGGCATCTGCATACACACATATCTGCATGGAGTTTTTCCATTTTGGAACTCCAGCCACTGT